TAAATGGTAGGTGGGACTAATTAAATGGGAAAATATATTAATTGTTTTAATTTTTAAATATAAATAAAGTAAAATTAAGAATTAAAGTAGTTTGTAAATTATTTAAAATTAAAAAAAAAATCCACATAATCATCTTTTACATGATGGATTTTCCACCTAATATTGAAAATGTAAAATAGTCAATCACTTAGCGAAAAAATTAGTTACATCAACATTTAATTGACGGAAAGATGAAATTGAAAATTGAAGTTGAAGGACGTTGGTACTTTTTGAAGTTCAAGGATGAATTGGTTCAAAAATAAAAGTTGAGGGACCAATTCAAATATTTAACCTAAAAAAATATGTTAGCCACGTCAGCATCACTATTCAATTAATCCTTAAATAGAAAAAATTGAAAGTTGACATCTTTAAATAGAAAAAATTAAAAGTTAACATCCTTAAATAGAAAAAAATTGAAAGTTGACATCCTTACTTATAAACTGACAAAGTTAACATCCTTATTTAAAAAAAAAATTGAAAGTTGACATTCTTATTTAGAAACTGTCAAAGTTAATATCTTTAAATAAGAAAAAATGCAAAGTTGGAATCCTTATTTGCACCTTTACTCCTAGTCCAGAAGAGAGATGAGACCGTGCTTCGTTACAAAATGGTTCCCAGTAACCATATGTCTAAGAGAAGACAATATGTGATGGGGCCTAGTCTTATTACTCCTGGTCGACTGCTCAGAGAACTCGGTCACAAGATACCCTACAGAGATTTTAAATAGATGTAAGTAATTCAGTCTAAAAACAACTCAAGCATAAAAGCATTTCTTGTAGTAAGTTTACAAGAGAGCACATTACCAAAATCCATCAACTCGATCTGGAAGCAACTTTCCTTGTTGTGGAATGTGGCCCAATGCATTGAGAGGCCTAAAGACATGACGTACCAAAAAGAAAGGAGGTGAAAAAATATAAGTTATATCCAAATTTTGGGCATTACTAAAATACTAATTGCAAAAGACGAGAAAACTCTGTAATGCCAACCTTTGACCTCGTCAATTTCATCAGAGTTGATCAGGCATCAGACTCGGAATCTATAGTAAGTGCTGGATGATCAGTTGATCCTTTTTGCAAAGTTCAAGAAGGCCCTGGAGATATTGTAGTCTTTCCAAGGAATCGCTGCATAAGCGCTAGAAACAATTGGGTTAGACTTGAAACATGCACCCTCTTAGCTGGTGTTAGGAAACTTCACCTAATACTTGAGCATATATTAGAATTTAGAATCCAACCCTATTAACACAAGCATTAAGATATAAGCAAACCTCCATAAATGACACCAAGAAGCATGGGAGGCTTCTAAAAGTTACATGAGAGCCAGACCTTTCACAGGTTATACCATATTATAGATGCATAGTTAGTGAACATGTTCTGTTGAGTTCACTACAAGCCATAAAAGTGGCCACATAAGTCTTACTGATGAATTAAACCATAGGCAATCAACTCATTGAGTTTGTTTCTCTCCAGAAATTAAGAATCACCAACACATGTGAATGTGTTTCAACATATAGATAAGGCATAATAATAAGCCTATTACAAGCCAATGAGGTCTCGGTCTATGGGTAAAGGAATGGGTTAAGAAATATGCTAAAATCATCTACTGATTGATATCTACCAATAACAATAATAATAGAAGAAATGCATAAATGAAAAAAACTCACCGCATCTTCAATTTTGGATATTTATGATTCTGTGGGTACAGAAGGAGTTTCCAAGATGTTCCTTTCTTGAGCAATTTCCAGCTGAACTGTCCTACATTTAAGTGAGTCTTCTAGCATCTTAACCTTTGTTGACAATTCATCGACCACCTTTTGGCTTCCAAGCAACTTGGTACCAAGTGCCTGAGCTTTGGATTTTGAATTTTCAGCTTCCAAAAACAAGGTCATAACCTGCTTTTCTACTACTGGCAAAAGCCCTCTCACCTCAGAAGATATTTGTTCTCCAGTAAATTCAATACTCCTAACATATTATTAATCTTCTGTAAACCGAATGTAAGTTCATCATATTTAACACTTTGAGAATAAGCTTCTTTGATTGCTTTCTACAACTGTTGTTCAATATTTTTCCTACCAAGGTCTAGCTCTCTCTTTTCTTCTGCAAATTAAGATATGCTGTTTTCTGCAACAGTCAATGCATCTTCTAGGGGATTTATAGTGGCTTCAGCTTCTGCTAATTTACTAGCCATAGTTTCAGCTTCCTATTAACTCTCCTATATTCTTCTCTGTATCTTTGCATTCTGACAATCATCGATATACCTAGCAAGCCAGTTCACTTTTTCAACAGGCTCTTGAAAAACTAAATCAACTGGATGAACAACACGATCAACAGATTCCATTAGTCTCTGTAACACGCTATTGCTCTCAGATAGGAACCCCTCAAATTGGTCCCTCTATCTTTTGTAGCAGACAGATCAGTCTCCAACCTTGGAATGCATTCTAAATCATTAGACTATGTGGATCTCATTCCTGCCTCCACCTCATAGCTATTCACCATCCACTAACTTCAAAAGCTTGCTGGATATGTGTAGCTTTGTTGTTATGGCTGCAATCAACAACATTTCTTCTTCAGCAAGATATGCGTTGTTGCTGGTTCCAGGTGACCGGCCGAGAAGGAGGAAATTAAGGTAAAAATGACAGCGTTTTGTTTAGGTTATAAAATGCCATTGGGAAGACCAATAGTAAAATGGATAGTAATTGTATTTGAGATATGAAGAAAATATGGAGTACTATTTTATGTTATTTGGAGGCCAATAAAATCTAAAATGGATATGATTCTTGGTTTGTCTGAATAATTTTCCTTATGGATTAGATTTGATCTCCCAATAGTATGATTATGTTTTAAATTATTGCAAAGAAAAAATATCACATGGGATTGACCTTTTTTGTTTTATTGATTTTCATTGACTTTTTGAGATTGATCATTTGTTTTAGAGGGGTTTGTTTGTTTAGGGAAGGAGAAGTCTCTCTTTCCATAATTTTAGGTAAGTGTGATGGTGGAGGAGATCGAGGAGTGGTGAAGCAATGGAGCCCCCTCCACTCCCTCGGTATTCAATTCCTCCAAGTTGGAGGAACTGGTTATCTTGTTTCATTTCTTTTATTTTCTTTACTAACTTTTATCAGAACACAATATAAAGGAAAAAGTTATCCTGAAGCATTTTTTGATGACGAGCTTTTTATTTTTCAGGAAACTATAGTTTGATAAATAGAGTGAGGTTTATCTAAAAGTTTTGATCCAAATCCATGCTTCCGTGTTTCTGCACAGAGACTGGTTCTGTAACATAGCATGTTACATCTGCGTTCTAAGTGGATTCAATTTTGTGTTCACTAAACAGGGTGCTTCAGCTCTTTCCCAGCTATATACACAGCCAATGTCCCACATCTCTGTTTAGGTAAGGCACATATTCGTCTGTTTGACATCGATGACCCAAGAACCAATTAGAACAAACAAACAGCTAATGTTTAGCTTCTGATATAGTGGCTGTAGCAAACAATTTACCATTCAGCATCACTGCCGTGTGGTAACCGCAACAAATCATATTACCACCCTTCATTGACTATAAAGAGAACACATTCTAGCATATATGGCAAGTTGGGAGCTTGAACCCTTCAAACAAGATAGTAACCCTCTACAAGGGTCAACCTAGGAAGGTTCTAACAGGACTTTGTCAGTCCAGTCCAGTCAGTCCAACAATTTAAACTTCTAAGAAATACTAGCTAATAAATTATTGCAGAGCTTTCAAAATGTAGACAAGTAAACTGCAAAGCATACAGTCAAGTTTAAGAAATGAGTAATTTGATTAATGGAGGAATTCTTCCACCGATAAGTACGCTCGTGTTCCATAAGAATCAGGGAGAACCTTCTTTCCAGACTCTATTTACACTTGATGGTCGGCTTGTTCTATCTATACACCATTTTCTTAAACACTTAAAATCAAATTAGGTACTCATAATACACTAAGAAAAGGGCATCTGGGTAATCTTTTGGAAGGCTGTTGATATAGAGGTAGAAACGCAATAGGTCCTCCTTTGAAACTGTTTTATGGTCCACCACATCATCATTACAAGTAAGCACCCATAAATCTTCAGAATTAACTCTTTTTATGCTACCACGGCAGAAAGGGCAGGACTCCGATTTTGTGTTCCTGTAATTTGGGAGGGAAACCATCTGTGAGTACTGAGTAAAGAAGAAGAGCAACCAGTTTTTGATATTAAGTTTTCATATTGAAAGAGACATAAGAGGAATAACATATTCTACTCACCAGTTGCGATAGCATCTGATGCACATTGCATGGCAGCAATTGGGCAAGACCATTTTGGTGCAAGGCTCCAAGCATATCCCACATTCATCTTCTCTCTCCAATTCAGTATCACTAAATCTACTATCTAATTTGATTCTTTTTTTGTTAGAACTCTCTGCCTTGTCATCATCCAATTCCCCCATGTTACTGTGAAGCCGTTGAAGAGATGGTAATATCACACCTGCAATTTGTTGATTTATTAAAAGAAAAAGGGCACACTATACACCTCAGCAGCCAGAAATTCATTAACATAAAATAATGCACACATAAAAGATGATAACTTTACAATTTACATACCATAAAATTCTCTAATTGTTGCCTTTCTCCCATGTCTAGACAGGTTTGATCTACCATCTGCATGTACCTGTATTTGGTGAGAAAGCAACCAAAAAGGAAACGCATAAGTCAAAACATGAAGAAGTTAATGAACTTGAATAAAATGTTTATTTCACAAAATATACCAGCAAAGATGAACCAACCTTGTATACAAGTATGTGAAAAAGGCTTAGATATCCAGGGAGTAAACAGGCGCATGAACAATCCATCCATTGTAGCAAAAATAGAAAGAGTGGAGCCAAATGATTGTACACCAATTTCATCTGAAGATGTGCACCACCTTTGGCTCTTGGAATGGAAGCAGCCCTAAAACCCCAAAAGCCAGAACAGAGTCAAATCTTGCTCAAAGTACTCGTAAAGAAATAATGCCCTTATGCCAAAGCATACGTCTTTAGCCCTAATCAGTTCAACAAAACAAGAGGAAATTTTCAATTATTTTTGGTCTAAAATGGACTCCTATCATCCCCAAACAATTGTTCAATCACTGAACAATAAGCAAAGCAGATACCATATAGCAAACAGCTGTGACATGTGGGTGTGGGAACTAGAGGAGGGGGAGGTGCTATAAGGAATAGATTATAACCGGAACAATAGCTTGATTAAAGCTGGCCGATTTGCTAAAATACATAAATGTAAACTGGGAAGAACTGGTCAACGTGCATCAAAATCCATAATTGGACGGGCTCTCCTATAGATTCTAGCCAAAGGCACAACCAAATTTAGAAAAACCCATCAAAATGGAATTACAAAGGGAAAAAACCCCAAAATCCAGGTTGGGTAAATTTTCCAGCTTCTTTTTATTACTACGATCACGATCGATCAGTCATCATCAAGCTCAAGAAATTCATAAACAAACTAAAATGTAAAAATTAAAAAAAAATTGAAGTTTCAAACACAACCAACAAAGATGAAAACAGGAAAGAGAAGGAACTCACAGAGCATTTGCGTGCAGTATGTCAGCCTCCAGCACTTTCAAAGAGTCCTGATAAGAGTACTTGGTCAACTGATAATACATCATCTCCATCTCCCCACCTTTTTCCTCCCAATTCCCAACCCAGGAAACGCAGAAACAAGAACAAACAGCAACTGGGTCTTTCTACCTCCTCACTACAAGAGAAAGGCACCCCAAGTCTCTGACTTTACGAGAACCCAATCCCCAAAAGATGTCAAAAAGCAAGAAAAACAACAAAAGGACCTGTTTTTCCTGCTATTTCCTTCTCGATTTCCCCTTCTCCTTTATCACTTTTCGCTGCAAATGAAAGGGGGCTGCTGTAGAGAAAGAGAGAGAGAAATGGATGTGTGTCTTGGAATTAACTTGATTTTTATGGTCAGAGAGGGAGAATGCGTCTAAGCAATGCGTTTAATTATATGATGAGTGGATTTGTTGGGGGACGCCACTCCATCCCTTATCTCTTCTTTGGGTTTCTGGTCTCCTTTTTTATATTCTCATACTCTTTCTTTCCATCCATTATTATTTTTCAAGTCTTAAATTATTATAAATGGATAATATATCCACGATATGATGACTTATACATGTAATTTATGAGGTACTTAGAAGGAAATTCCTCCTCATTTAATCTTTTGTTTCCAACTTTCATTTTATGCCACTAATAGTCCCGAACCTTTTGAAAAATATCTACTTTTGTTCCTCACTTCCTTCAAATTGGCCATTACATCTAATGGGGATTGTTGACGTGGTAAATGGTGGAACCTTTAAGAGCATGTATAATAGTGTTTTTTTCTTTTTTTTTTTTCTAAATTAGAATAGAGAGAGAATTTTTTTTTATTAAAATGTGTTTT